ATACTTCTTTTGGCAGGATCCTGGCTCCCAAGCTGTTATTCTGATCTGCTGGCCGTCTGCTTTCCATTAATCACTTCAGGCAGAAGGAAGGGCCTTCCAAAAATCTTTCACCTTTGGCCTATACCCAGGCAGCAAAAAGGATGCAGCCGCACACAAGGTTTGTGCCAGAAGGGATCTTCAGTCTGGGAACATGATCCTGAGGTTTTTGCCATGAGAGTCCCCACAGGTCTGTCCTGGGAGACTCAACAATCTTGTCAGCCACACCCCATTTTACGTTTCTTTATCTAAATAGAGTGGTAGTCCTCAGTAACCCCACCTGTGTTTGTAGCTGGCTGACAAGTTAGTTCAAGCCTAGCACAGATCTCGCAGGATAATATCCCAGGGATGATGATTAGAAGATGGAAAATGCGGTACAAGCTTTTTTTTAAGACTTTGTGATTGAGAGAAGAAAAGGAAGAAAAGGAATCAAGAAAATATGGATCTGAATCCAAGTCAACTTCAGCCTTTTCTTTCCTGTGCTTGGGAACATTAATGTACAAAAACCCTTAGACAAAACTGAAGTCCTCTGTGATCTCAGAGAAAACGTTTCAAGAACACCACATATTACTAACCATTAAGATAAAATCTTTAAGAAATCCATCACACTTGATTAAGGAATATAAAATACCTTTATTTTACTCCTAATAAATGCCTTCAGAAATATTGATGAATTTATGTCTGTCACTCCACCCTCAGTTAAGCTTCCTCATTTTGTTCCAAGGGAAGTAAGAAATCCTGCTTTGTAAGGCAGCAACTTTCTTACATGTCTGAGAATGAATTCTCCCAGTTTTTCAGTGGTTGGACTGGCATTTGAGACACCACAGACCTGCATCCCAACTGMCTACTGGGATCCAAATGGGTTTAAATTCCCACATCTTGCACAGCTGGGGACTGGGGGCCAGTGCCTCTTCAGAGCTGAAACAAGAACGATAATGATAATGATAATGATATGTGCATTTAGCCTTATGTGGGGGATTTCTTAAGATTAAGTCAAAGAGCAGAGACAGATCCTTAATCGTCGTGCAACTCTAGGTATAAATTCTTCCCACATCTGACGTGGTAGCATTTATTAGCATTGGATTAGCTGGAATTGAACTTTGAACACCGAGGCAAAATGTGAACAAAGGTAAGCTCAGGCTATGGTCTTCTTCAGGAGGATATGCTCACCACATGTGTGGTGGCAGGAAGATCCTGGGGCTTCCTTCTGGTACTGCAGTGGTCTGGGCTATTCTGTCATTCACTGCTAGTTCTCCCATGCCACAGGAAAAGCAGAGCAGGGATTTGTACTTATAGATAGTATGTGAAAAACCAAGGGCAAATCAACAGATATCAAGTGATAAAGTCAACATCCCCTCTGGAAAGGCAAAGTGAAAATGACCGAGGTTGTGAACCATCAGTGAACCACACCAGCGAGGGCAGGTTTGAAATTAACTCAGGCATTTGGATGTGGCAGAGATAATGCCCGGGAAGGAGCCTGTCTGGCTTTAGCTACTGGTGTAAGTGTCCTGCAGGCAGCTGTTCCTGGAAGATAATAAATTAATTCTGGCACATAAACCCCAATCCATTCCTGGTCAGTGTGCACACCACGTCAGTACAGCCCTGACTCRGTCACGCCATCACACCAACCTGTCCCTGCTTCCCCAATCCCAGTCCGTATCATCAACACAGCATTTCTGCAGTGCTGAAACAGAGAGAGCACCCGAGTGGTGATCTACGTTCCTGCTTGCCAGAAGCAGAGGGCAGCCTTCTCCTAAAGCCCAGGTTTTCAGTTCCTGCACCACAGCTTGGGGAAACAGCCCGATTCAGAGCAAACCAGAGCAACAAACAGAAGAGCACCTTTGRAAGGAGCTCTCAAGAGCCAGAGGCCTTCAGCAAGGGCTGCCTTGAGTAGAGCCTGCTGCAAACTGCCCTCCTTTTTCATCTGCTCTCTCCTCTTGATCCCTTCAGAGCCTGCAGGACAGCAGATGCTTTTCTAGGTATTTCCAGCCTCCTGACTCACAGCTTGCACCTGTCCCATGTGGGGCTGTTCCATCCCTTGGCATTAGCCAGGRGGACTATTTTTAATTGGCAGGACAGAAATAAGAGGTAGAGCCTTTGGCGAGTACCCTGTGTAACCCTGTCACCCACAGACTGAAACACTTCTTGGCACCCTCATTAAAGCACTTGCCAACAGTTTTCCTCCTGAGGAACACTGGTACCCAACAGTGCCCTGCAGTGCTGTTGGCTGGGAGCATGAGAACACACCTTGAAATCATTCCTCAGCAAACTCTGAACTAAGGCCACAGCCTAGGCAGTGTCTCACAAAAGGCAGAGCTTGCTAAGATACACTGGGACCCACTGGGAAGCAAAACAGGGACTGTAAGAATCCAGGCCTAATTTGGGCACTGAYTAGTTCAGTTTGGCCAGAGCCTGATGCAGTGCAACACTTGCGGTTTTACAGAAGATAGRGCTTGTGCTTTATGTTTTTATTGCTGCCTTATCTCTCTATAACTTGGGCTCATTTGTGGGTCAAACTGGCCCTTGGAGGAAACAATTCAAGCGTGCCTCTGAAAGGCCCTTTGGAGCACAGCATTGCCACCCAGTTTCTTCAGCAGCACATGCTCCCTTTGCTTTCTGCTCTAACATGAAGTGCAGCTTGGTTCTTACCTTGGAGCAATGGACACRCTGCTCACCATATTTCTGGTAAATCAGGTTTAACAAACCAGGGAAATCCAGTAATTTTACCAGAATCTGTCACAGATCAGTGCCAARAGGAAAAGCARACCCCGTATAAGTGGCTGAAGATTTAAGACCTCAGCTGTAAAACTGTAATTCCTACATCACCCAGAACAGTTATTTCTCCAGAAATGAAGTATATGCACATACTTATAACAGATTCACACAGGATGCGCCCATTGCATTTTGTCAGCATTACTGGCATCCACACTGAAGATCTCATACCATCACACCTATGGTCAGGAATACTTCCACTGTCACAACACTAACAGAGACAATAAACCATCATTTATGCATATAAAATAACTCAAGCATTTGTCATCTTTCAAATATTTTATTTTAGTATTTTTAAATATGTTTAACACAACAAAGATATAAAACAATATATTAATCCAATCTGAGTTCAGAATCAAAACAATATTTACTTATTTACAGTACTCTAAACTTCACTGGCATACCTTCTAGCCATTAGATAACACTATTTTCTCAGTCAGAACAAAACTGAAGTAACTGTTCAGTGTGAAAAGCCATGTTTCTACATCCTTATTAAGTACCACGTACAATGCAGTTTGTGGTTTCTCAAAATTGACAAAATTTCTCCTTTTTCTACAAAACGGAATTGAAAGAGAAAAACTAATTTATAGTTAGTCTTTCTAACTACATAGTCAGGGCTAATGGGTCAAGTTATTGTGCTCCACATTTATCACTTTAAGTTCTTACACACCTATTACAAACTTTTAAAATGTGCATGTCACAGAATTATGTACATAATACTCACTGCAWATTTGTTAGGACACAACTAGTAAGTATGCAGGATACTGCTGTATGGAAGGTTCAGTGTTCACAATACCATAGTGTTTGAAGTTTTGTATTTTTCTTCATTCAATGAACAAGGCATCAGTAGGTTCACTCCAAAAGGCKTTTTTTCTTTTCTCCCCAGAAATAATGTTTTAATTAGAATAGTGACAAGGTMAAAGATAGATCAGAAATAGATTTATAAATCACTGGTCTATCAATTAACCCTTATTGTCRAAATATACACACAAAATAATTCAGAGGGTAAGCTGTCTCAATGCTAGGACTAGTCAAATATATATGCTAGTCAAATATACTTCCATCTTGGCAGGGTGGTTTTTGTAGTTACAGGTCAGATTTCTAAGAAGGTACCCTAGGCTATTTTACAAAAAATCAGTATTGTCTGTAGATGACTGCAAATTCTCCCTAACTCTTCACTAGAAACTGTAAGGACAGGATTAAAAACTATCATAGTTGTTCTAAGTTATCTTTGTTACACTCCAGGTCCATAAAACCTACTGCGTGGGGTTTTTTCCCATGACTGATGCTTGAAAGTCAAGTGGGCTTTCATACGTCAGAAAATTGCAGTGAAAGACTTGTACTGATGTCTGAGTTCAACTCTTTCCTCTTAAASTCTCTTTTTGGCACTACATGAGACACAGCTGTACAGAAAAGATTATAGKAACCTGTGCTTTTATCCTTCTTGAAGGTTTCTGTAATTCCAAATTACTTTATTTAACATGCTTGCATCAAAAAATAACTTTTCTTTCCAAATTATTTAATTGTCCCTTGCTTCTTAAAGCAGGTAACTACCAAGGTTGTATTTGTATCTTTTTGTTTTACAGATTTCTTCTCTCAGAACCCAGTTAAGTAGTAATTTGAAATTCTACTGGAATGTTTTCTTGTGYGGTAGGTAAGGGGGGAGACATCAGAGAAAAGCAAAGAGAAAGAGATATTACCTATTCCCATTACTGTAGCAGTATATCACAAACAGTAGGCACTGGGCCTTATCCAAGAAAATATTTAAACTAAAATGATAACACTCACTGAAGTCAGCAGTGTTTAGTAATTTGCTTGAAGTTAAGCATACAAGTCAGGCAGTGCACTGATGGGATCCAATTCTTGCTATTTAAGCACTTCAGGCCTATCTACATTTCTGTATCAATACTTCATGTAAGTGTTATCATGTCTGCCACAGGACATGAAGATAATTTGCATATATGGAGGCTTTCTATAGCATTGTTGAAGATCAGCTGAAAGAATCTTGCTCAAAGATCCTTTTATAAGTTTTTGTCAGTGTAATCAGAATTTATTTAAAAACACCATCTGCGAAGGTCTAATCCTGTGCAAGCGTAATGTCATAACCCATTTAAAGGATCTCTCAGAAATGAAAAACTAAAAGCAAAAATTTAGGAAAGTTATTATAAGAAATTGTCTTTAGGTACAAAAAAAAAAATACAAAGAAAAAGGGTGGGGGAAGAGCTATCACTTGCAGGTATGTGCATACAGATCCCCAAACTAATAAGGAAGAGCTCAACCCTATTGCCAAGCCTCAAATATTACTAAATTTGCTAAGCTAGCAAAAAAATGTGACCCTTCCCTTCTTTTGTATATACAGTTATTAATTTCAGACTTTGCTACTTGATTAATTTGTGCACTTCGTAGTATTAATGTTGTTAGGACACTTGTACTTACTGGCATTACACGGTAATTCATTCAYTACTCTGAATTCAGATTATGTGGGCACTCACAGAGACCACAGAAGACAACTTAGCACAAAAGAGGTGCAACATGTTAAAGGAGAGCAAAAAGACTGGTGTGTGAACACAAAGGAAGACACCCCTGAACATACTTAGCATTAARTCCAAGGCCCAATGGTGCTCTGCTGCCTTTACTTGAAAGTGCTTGTCAGCAACAGAAGCAGCAAAATGCTTTTAAAACACTGACTCTTTCAGGAGGTACAAAATGTTAAGCCTATCAGTTACCTGCAATTTGTTTCCATTTAATGAACAATAAARATCACATTCCCAACTTTACAGTCCGACCTGTGCTTTTGCACGCGAGATCAGAATTTTCTGTCTTCTATCAATGTCAAGCTTTCCTCTTGCACGTTTACAGACAGACAAAATGAACTTCCAAAATAGCAAAGGACAATTATCCTGACAATGTTTTAACCCACTCCAATGCTAACAATACCAGGCTTTTTATATTACTTATCTAGGACTCAGATATTTAACATCAAGGGAAACGGCACAAAAGAACAAGCTTCTTTTAAGAAATAGTGATAGATAAGGCTGATTTAGAACACAATTTACTTAACAGAATTTGAAAAATTAAATTAGAACAAAGAGAGAATTCTTACATTTCAAAGTATATGAACTTCATTTAAAAAAAATTGAAATGATAGCTTTACTTTATGTAAACATTGTTACACTGGGCTGTACTTGAAAATTCTCCTGCATGTCTAAGTTGTAAAATTCTATTTCAGTTTAGATGCAGTTATGCCAGTTACCACTCAAATGGTTATTGTCAGAATCAACAGCTTTGCAAGTTTAATTGCATACCTCTCCATGTAAATCAGATTACAATCCTGCACATCCTGAGAACAGAGGTTTCCTAGAGTTTAGAAAAATAGCATTCATAATTGTGTGCATTGCAAAGGCAAATATAAATTAATAAATAGAGCTCTTTCATTATAAAGTCTCAAGAGGAATGTTCAAATTGCCTTTCTGAAATCAGAAAGTTAAGAGCAGCAAATGGCAAGTCCTTAAATCTTTCAGAATATTTTCTCCTTTTTTTTTTAAGTGTAAGTATACTCCCCCAATTTGGATGGCAAGAGCCATCAGACTGCAGTAGATTGAACAATATAGTAATAAACCTGCAATTTTGYTAAAAAATTGGAATGTTACAAATATAAAAATCTCTGGAATAGTACAATGTACATATGCTCGATACAGTTGGCAGAGAKAGTCCAAGATTCATAATTCCTCTGTGGAACAGGAGCTAAATTAAGTTATAAAAGTAATATATTACGAAGAGTGTAAGGTAGTTAAGTTAGTACAATCAAGGTTTATAAAAKGAACAAATAGCAAGGAGTAGCCCACAGCAGGTTACAAGACTCCAAATACAAAACCTTGCCAATTCCAAATGGATTCATTTCTATGCACACACAAGTACATTGTGCCCATTTAGTCAGCTTGTACCAAGTTGGAAATGCTTTGTGTAACTTTCTAAAGCTGACTTACACTACCTTTTGCATCTCTTACCTGTTCTGAAATTGCAATAACCAAATTAAAAGGTCTACACCATTTTTATGATTTGTACCTTGTACCTATCAGTTTTCATTTAGAACAATTCTAATTTCAAGTTTCCACAGACAACATTAGTATGTCCCCTTACAATCCACCACCYAAGAGATCACCAACCCTTGTGTGACCCTTGCTTATGCATTATGGACTTGGAGTGTTGGTCTGAGGTCTTCGGGGATTTTGTTGTGGGTGGTGGCTTGGTTTTTTCAACAAGCAAAACTCAACTGTYTATGGTACTTCTGTCTTTCAGTGTAGTAAATGACTTAATTTAAGAACTAGTCTCTTTTCATACTTGCTAGAAAAACATATATATATAAACAAATATACTGTGCATATATATATCCAGAGATATTCATCATATTGTTGACACCAGAGTGCTAAAACATACATCAACATGAGCACTATTTCCAATACTCACTATTGTTACTATTCCTGGAAGAGTTACTACATGCATTTTCCCCATCCATTTACAGGACAGTAAGATACAAGAAGACAACTGTTCTGTTTTTCCAATGTTAAAGAACTGCTCTTGAAAAGCATGCATGGGTTTGGGTATAAAGCAATTAAGACCACACTAAAGTTATTTTGTGGCTTTAAATTCACTAAAGCTAAGTTTACTTTCAGTGGATGTTCCACTTTAACTCATTTAAACACAAAAGGGAAAACTTCCAAGTGCTAGAACAACCATAAAGACAACTGAAAGACTATTCTAAAGAAGTTCTCATTAAAAAAATATCATCACTGCACAGCCACAAGGCAGACTTTTGTTTTTGGCAACCTGTATGCAGACCATTTATACTGTCAAGACTTGTAATTTAACAGTTAAGAGACCCTCTCAGCAAGGAACTATACTGCTTTCTTCATTATAACACAGACTTCCTCAATCTTTAAGTATAGACAGTTTGTTTTGAAAATTACATTTATGACTGTTTTAAAATAAAGGCTTCATAAAGTTCGATTTTTTTGTCAGTATTTGTAAAGGCTGGTACTTGGGTAACAGAGATAATCTGGACCTGTAAAGGGTGTATTATATTCAAAACAAGCACATATTTGAGATTAGCATTCCATAAACATTCACACAGAACCTTACCAAGGGTAACAGTATTCTGGTTTATAYTCGTGCTTCACTGAATAGCCTTTACCCATCCCTGCATTGTTTTCTATTTTCACAAAGAGAAAACAAAACAYATCCCTGTAGCCCCATTTTATGGCTAAGAATCTAAGAAACAAGGCAAGGGAGGAGATCACAGAGTGAAAAATGTTACTTGACCTCTCCCTTGTAGCTCGCCTTGTAGGATCTTAGTCATAATGCTTCATAAAAATCTSAACTGACCCACACAATCTTCAACCTATTAATCTTTTTAGTATAGTAGGTTTTGAAAAAGGCCAGCAGTACTCATTGGGAACAGTACCATTAACATTGCATTCAAAGAACGAAAACATTGGAAACCATATCCTTGCTCTCCTACTGTGTTGATATGCTCTAGTATTAGCCAATGTATGGTAATACAAAAAGAGTCTTGTAGTGATGTAAAAGGCAATGAAGACATCTATAGAATAATGTTCATGTGCAGCCAAAATGAAGAAGATTCCGAAGAGATTCAGGACCCAGGACAAGGTGTGCAAGAAGTTCCAGCTCCTTGGCGTATCTAGGAGGAAACAGGAAGTGATTAACCTCGAATGTCTCAAAAATCAGGCCTAGACATCCCAAGTTTTTATACAAACTTCTCATCCAAAAATGAGATTAAGTTACTCTCTTCATTCACTAACATTGTATAGAGGTCAAATAAATCCAACAAAAACAATCACACAAGTTATACATGTCTGTCACTTCATGACTTCATTTACAAATACATTTTGGGATTAAGAGAGCATCCTTAAATTGTTTGGCACCCTGCAAAGCAGAGTTCTTTGTTCAACCAACTTCCTTTTAATGAAAATCGTGCCTTCTCTATGCATAAGGACAAGAACCTGCATTACTGTTTTTGCAGTCAATCCATCATAGCTGAGTGCAAAGTAATTGTCTGTGCTTGCTATGATATGTATCAAATCACTATTGGTGTTTACAGAAGAGCACTATTGTTTCATATATTCTCATTCATTATGAGGTTTGGTGTTTGGCTTTATGGATTATACCAAACGTATGGACACCTTGTCGGGTACTGTGGCTGACAGGAGTCTGTGGCAGATACCTAGGGAAGTGAATATTAACAGACAATCCTAAATATCTTCCCAACTATTCTCCCAGCAGCAAGCCAGAAAGCCTTTTTAATTTCTCACATGTTCGTTCAGAAGTGCCCTGTTGATCCCCCCATTCATGGAGGTGGTCGTGTTCTTTTCCTGGCTGTGACTTGACTGTCACAAACTTGAGAAAGAGCACAGCAATCTGAATTTGTATTTGTTTGCTTAAATGTTACACTTTGAACTTTTTTAGGAGGTCAAGGAGCAGATATTCTTAATACTTAAGGACATTCAAGTGTTTGCACTCTCACACTTCTAACTGTACATATTCTTAAGGACATTTGAGTGTTGACACTTTGTACTTACATTCTGTGACAAAGAAGTTGAGCATGGTCAGGACGACAGTGTGACCACTGAACATGTAATCTCCACAYGTATGTACTCCAGTCAGAGTCATTCCAAAGCCACTCCATATTGCAAATGCCCGCTGGAGTTTTGCCCAAACATTGCCATACAACTAAAAAAACAGTGACATTAAACTTTAAGTAAAGTTCCAACCCCATTGCCCAAACACCATGTCCTTAAAGTTAGCTGTATTGCACTGTTTGTTTAATAGCATTTAGCATGTTGAGTCTTTTACCAAAATGCAGGTTAGCACATCWTCGGATTTCACTGTGGCAGTGAGTCACATTAGTAGCTACAATTACTAATTGTATTCATCATACCTCTGGTGAATACTGGAATTTAGAGCAAGTATTTTGTTCCAAGTGATTTACCTGCAGAGCCTGCCACCTTTTTTTGAATATATTCAGCCTCCCAATGCATCATTGTCAAGCTTTCCATTTGTTCAGCACAAACCCMTCCTAACTAAAAGTTAGGATGAAATCAAAATCCCATGTTCTAAGGAATATCCCTTATGAGAAGGGGTGAAACAATAATAGTTTGCTGGATTTTTTTCAAAACCATACAACCAACTAGAAAAACTGAAAGGGACGTAATYGCTTCTTCTTCTTCATGAAGTCAGTTATATATAATTGACTTCAGCTTAAATGCACACGCCTCTTGGATTTATTCTCTCTGGTTTATAGTGTGAAATATTCTKAACACCTTTCCTCAAATAACTGTATACTCTCCAAAGTGGCAAGTGCTTCTAAGACCCCTAGTGATTTTTGCCTACATATGGTAATTAATGCAAGGGCAAGGAAATGGGAGAGAAACATGAAAAAACACACATCCAACACTATGGTCGCAACAATCTTATAATCACATCTTTAGTATTTTGTTAAAAAAAAGAAACAGGAAAAATAGTTTAAAGCATTTGAAGTTTTTACCTTTCCAGTACACTGCAAGTGCTGGCCTGGCACGGAGAGTGAGGTAACAAACATKGTGATGCAACGTAATAGAAACACTGTCCCCATGAGGCTGCACAGCCTGCGCAGAAGTATAGATCTGGGAAAARTACACAGCAASTRAAATCAGRAACCTTGTGATAAAAACATTTCACYTCACCCCAACYTAATCCCATTAAGTCCCATCATCACTACTGCAAGTTTCACAACAATTTTCAATTTAATTAAGCAGTGCTGTAAAGCCAAGGTTCCACATGACAGGATGAGACACTGTAGCAAGCTGACTGTCACCAAAGGTACAGCTCCACCTCTGAAGCCACACTTTCATTAGCTCTGGCACTCATACCTTCTGCTGGCAAATGGATAAAAATCAATGAAYCAGTAAAAATTTAACTTAAAATACGCACGCACACACAAAAGCATTTTCTATCCCACAGTGAAAGCAAACTGSCAGGCTGGCTCAGACATGCTGTGGAAATTCATTCTCATAGCACTTTCTTATATACAAAATGTTACAGTATGGGAATATATGCTGACAACTCCCCGAAATACCTAGGATCTGAAGGAAATTATTCATAAATATGGTAGAAAAGTAAATTCAGATTACTCCTTTGAAAGATCCACGTCATCATTCTTGATCAAATCCTTCCTAATCCATTTTAACAGGGACATACTAGAAGTTGACAAAATTCTTAATGGAAATTTTTTAACAATCTTCATAAATTCTTGTTATGGTCTTTTCTCTGCAAAGTACCAGCTATCTGGATTATATAAACTTTACCTGTGTTTGTGAAGCAGAAGAACCAAGAGCCAAATGTAGCAAAGAATTACACCACATACTTCAGTCATAGCAAAAGCCCATGGTATTCTAGGGACGCTAAAAAAAAGGACAAAGCAAAAAAGTTAGTACAAAGGCGTAATCTTTTCCTAGTGTCAGTATTGAAAATAAGAGCATATAAAGCTCTAACCTCAAAACTAATTTGCTTTCATTTGACAAMAGTATAAACTACAGCCAAAAATTCTTTTGTTAGACTGAAACACAATTTGAAATATATYCAATTACATTATCGCCTTCCTAATAATGTGTTTGCAGCAGATGTTTACACAGAATTCACTCAGTCAGAGAAAATCTCTAGTATGCTCTCTTAATTTACAGGACTTACTAACAGGATGTGTTCCTCTACAATTGTTTCACAACAACCTTTTCAATTCTGATGAAAACTTGCATAATGTCAATTACACTGCTTATGCCTGTAAGAGTGCCATGTTAACACAACTAATTAAACGCTGCAAAGCCAAAAATTTTTAAACATTTGTTATAAAGCAGAACTGCACAGGAAAGTATCAGGGAAATTAAAATTGTTTTCAAAATTTCAGGGATAATCACTGGATGCAAACTTTTCAGCCTTCCCTGTCAAAAAAATTAAGACCTTGCACACATAAGGCACCAGTGACAAGTTCCACTCATTCAATCATCAAAATACAGATCACCAGATTTCAAGAGAGGCTGCTCATTGTAGTTTTGTGCTCCCTTTGATACAAAGGGATAGCAAAGGGCTACTCAAACATGAGCTTTGTAKTAATCCCCTCTCATTGTTTGTGAGCTGCTGCTCCCCCATTCTCCTGCCCATGAACACCATGTTAGCACCCTGGGAACRAAATACAGTAATGCTATAGCTCCTGTTCTCTCTCCCCTCTTCTGTTCTGCTGGATGTGGTCTGCCCTTGCTCAGTTATACATAATTTTATGGGGAATTCTGTACCCAAAAGGTTAGAATCCTACTGACTTTCTGAAAGCCATTAATGAAAATGGAAATGAACGGCAGGAACAGGTCACAAAGACTGAACATTTTAACAGTTTAGCTCATCTTTTAAAACTCTCTAGGCTGTTAAGTTCTCCATGGTGCAAGCACACKTTCTCAAAGGGAACTTTTATCCTCTATTAAACCTGTAGTCAATGATTAGAATTTGACCTTTACCGTTGTGTCTTCTTTGCCTGAAGTGAAATATTTTCTTTTAAAAAATAAGCAGGTACTGTGTAAGTCACAACAGTGGCTTAGTATCCTGTTAAAAGAGATAGTCTTTTCATTCTACTTCAGCGTTTCTCTAGACCATCTTCAGCAAGCTGACAGTGGGAAGACAACAAAGATACAGTACCAGTGCTGTTCCCTTTCAATTTTCTTGCTCAATCAGAACCCAAAATATTCTTTCATTCAAAGTTTTTCTGTATCAAGGTATGCTAAGCTTCATAGCAGGAACTGTATTTCAAAAATGCATTTGGCTGCATATCAATGCCAGCTGACCACCGTGTTTTTGACTCGTGCGAGGATGGATGAACTAATTACTGTGTTGCAGTGAGTTTAATATGTAAATTAAATATAAACTGGGTAGAACAACAGCTCAATTTATTTTCCCCTAAAACTAAATCTCTGCATCTAACTGATCTGCATTTCAATCTTAGCAGAAGGATTTACTAGACTCTTATTACTATTTTGCASAGGCATCTTCTACGGCACATGAAACTTTCTTTAAGGGCATCTAAAACTTGGAAAACAAAGGAAAGACAGCCTATATTTTAACCATCACATTAATATTTYGTTTAGAAAGAAAATTTCTTACCTATCTAGAAATATGTCTGGCAGAGGTGGATATGTTTGCATGTCAGGTACTCGTTCGTGGACTATCACCATAACAAATGATGTGAAGCCAAACACTATGAAGACATACACACAACTCAAAACTGTCTTCCAGTACTCTGGGTCCAGCCTTCGTGTGGCATGTTTGTTTTTTCCATTTGTGTACTGATACTGATCACCATTCAAGTCAGTCATTAGTCCATCATAGTCCCGAGGTACTTCACCATTACAAAACCAATCTGCACCCTGTAGCGAACCAATTGGGCACACAATGCCGGCGTGACCGTCACTGGTGTAACCCAGCTCTTCCAGGACGTCAATATGCTGCTTCTGCAGTTTGCGTATGGACAGCATCAGCCTCTTGATATCCCCCAGGATTTTGATTTCCAGAGGAGGGGATCGTAAATCATACTCAGTAAGTGTCAGCAGTGTAATTCCATCTAGCCTGTGTCTATTGCACAAAACATCCACATATTCACAGAAGCCTTCTTCCTTCAGCCACTTGGCCACATTCTTGGTAGTCCAACGTCGAATGCAAAGCTGGTTATTGCCTGCCATCCTCCCTCTCTATCCACCAGTCACACTGACCTGTTGCATAGCCAAGAGAGACAACACCAGAATGTTTAACACAGATTACTGAAATGCCAGGGTCTTTTGAGCAATTTGAGATGCTTAATTATCCCAATTATTCACATTTTACATAAGAGATAGCTAAAAAACAGACCTAATTTCTTAGGTAAGTAATATAAAAATGCTTTAATTTTTTTTTTATTCAAGCAAAACTAAATTAGTATTATCTCACTGGCTCCTAAATTGAAATTTTATGTATCCAAGGAGCAGAATATTTCTTAGATGCATCCAGTATACTTTTGTAATTTTCTTATAAATAAATAAATAAATGAATAAATCCAGGCTCGTTAATTACATTAGGCAGTGAAAATCAAATACCACTCTGTTTAAATACCAGCTTAATCATTAGTCTTTTCCACTGCTTGCAGTTCATCAACTACACAAGAAAGTATTGCCAGCAAACACACAACACTGAATTAAAACTGAAATAATACATTCCAATACAGTCCAATATATCCCACTGTTTTAAAATAYATACTGAAGCTTTGATGGAATGACATTCCTCCACTCCTTCCAAGTAAGCCTAAGTCTAAATAACTGCAACGTATTGAGCTGAAGTATCTTAGCTGTATGTTGATGGAACAACCACTCAGTAATTAAGATAAATGCTTACTGAATTGTGAATCAGTAAATATTCAGCTTTCAAAAATAACATTACTAGAAATTAAGTACTGGCTTAAGCTTCAAAGCATTTTTTTAAATTAGTAGATAATGTGGTAACACACAAAAACCGGAAGATATGTATTCTCTTCATACAGATTTCTCAACAATTGTGTTCCTGACTCTAGAATATTGCTTGAAGAGAGACAGCTCAGCAACATTTTAGTCACATGGTGGTGACAAGTCATCAGAACAATCAGGGAAAAAGTTAACCACAGGACATTATGTGGAATACAGGAAAGAACTTTGAAAGACTACCAGCAAAGTAAAAGTAAAAAAAGTTTATGCAATATTGAAGACCCACAGCAGTACAGAATGGATTTGTGCATAATTTATATTTGGTGGCTCATGTACAGCTACCATCTAAGAAACAGCTACAATTTCACAGCTCCTTTGYACTCAAAAAAGTGGTCTAATTAACTAGAATGCTTCAATCATGCCAACCAAATCTCAGAAAATACAAGGCAGTACAATACACTGGTGCCACATACATCATTCAAGGCTTTCAGAATGAAAGCAAGGAAACAGTGTATTTAATCTATTATTTAACTTCTGTCTATGGTAAACTGGTACTCAAACCAATCATGAATATTCAGCACAGTTCTACATCTTTTTCAGGGGCACAGCTCTTCCAAAAACAGAACCTCTTTCCTTCTCACTTCTTTTTTTAAGGAGGTACAGTACCTATTGTGGTCTTAATATAATTATTGGATGAAACTTTTTCTTCTGACTTTCATCTAAYAGAACCACAAACTATTTTATACTATACCAGAGAAGATTCAATTTCCCACCCACACTGCCCCTGGCGCACCCTCCCCCTGCAGTGGGATGGGTGGGGTAGACTAAATAGCTAAACCAAATGGGTTGAGATATGAACATTTCAGTAATGGTAATAAAGCAAAATATAGTAATAATAATAGTGGAAATAAAAAAAGGAAAGAGGAACAATACCCAAGAAATTCAAATGATGCACTTTACAACTGCTCACCACCTGCTGACTGCTACCCAGCCAGTTCCCAGCAATGGTYGGCCCCTCCTGGCAAACCTCCCCCTCCATTTATACACCATGYAGGACATGCCATGGCATRGAATATCCCTTTGGCCAGTTCAGCTCAGCTGTCCTGGCTGTGCTCTCCACCAGCTTCTTCTGCCTCTCCTCACYGGCAGAACAAGGGAAACCCAAAACACCTTGACTTAGGGTCAACACCACTAAGCAACAACTAAAACATCCGTGTGTTATCAACATTATTTTTACACTAAATCCAAAACAATCAGTAAAAATAAACAAACTTGAGTTGCCTATCTGAAATTCCAGTTTTGTTTATCAGAAACACAGATGAAATACTGAAAAAAAGTTGTTAATCACAGTGGGTTTTATAACATAGTAACCATCACAAGTTTTCTAAAAGCAGTGAATGTAAACTCACCACCACAAATAYGCTCAACTTACTGATATTGTCTTCYAACCAAAGCAACTTCTGAGGACAAAGGCAGGAAACTGTCCCTAACCTGTAAGAATTTTATTAATTGGTCACAAGTCAGTAGCCTAACAGCAGTCTAGTCTTCCTTCATCTGGCATTGCYGGAATAAAAATCAACCCTTACCAAACGTGCAATAAAACTAATCCTGCAGCACTGAATGAGCACGCCCATCAAAGGTCACTATTGGCTGAACCTGGGAGAAAGTCTACAGTAACCTCATGATGCAACTGATAGGACCTGCTCCTGTTTTTTAATGCTGTCAATGACAAGACATTWAACCACCTGGAAAAGACAAAGAAATGACCACAAAACACAAATGTAAAGCATTATACAAAGCAGGTAGCTAATTTCATCTCACCAGCAACAGTTAATTTTTAATGAGAGAGCTACTTCTTTAAACCCTGAAACTGCCTTCCCTTTCAGACTACTCAATTAGCAACACTTTCATAGTTTAAAGGGTAAAAAGCACTTTTCCCCAATAATCTTAACACCTGGAATACAGTACAGATCCCTTCATGCAACTGCTCCTGTTCATTTCTGAAACTGAAGAATGCTACCTACTACGCCACTAGACTGCAATGCAAGAAGAGGCCAAGTATAACAGCACCTGTCTTCTGAAAGGAAACAGCTCKGGCAACTACTTTGCCTTCCACGTTACTGGTTTTATCACTGAAACCAAATAATGGAAAACATTATTAAATGATGAATAACACACATGAGTAATGCAAAGCAAGCATAGAGTTAAGCGTCCAGAGGGYAAACTGTACTTTTCACCAGACATCAGCAATGTCTGTAGTTGGTTATGTTTCCTGGTACTGCAACTTAACACATASGAAGCTCAGCAACAGTATGTATTGTGTGTCCCATTTTCTTTCACCGGCATTTCAGTTAACATGAACACAACTGCATATGAACTGCACATGTCTAAGTATTTACTGTTTAAAAAGAAAAATGTTACTTCAGGAGCCATGAACATTCCTACAATTTGGCTGGGGCATTTTAAGAAATGAGATGCCGCTGAGAGGCTGAGTATACTCTAGCTGTTACCAAAATTTCCTAGTGTATATTTAAACAGAGAAAATTAACCGCCCTCAATGTGACTGTCCATGACTCTATCATGTTCCTGTCTACTGAAGTGCTGCCAGTCAACCATTAATTACCTCATTTTCCTAGCTTACAGACTTTGAGACAATATATTGAGATAAAAATGTGGAAAGTTCAATCTGCTTATCACTACTCCAGCCAAGAAAAAGTAGCCTTAATGTCACAGTAACATTAGGCTGAAAATTTATTATAGAAAAGAATTTGATTAGAGAAGAGTCATAGTTGAAGGGTTAAACAAGAACCTCGTGACGTCTGCAGCAGTTAGCTGAATACTGACTGGCTTTGTTTTTTCCAGACACACATGCAAAAACACTACTAGCACCATTACTGCTTTACCACCTGCCCTCAGGTACCTGGGAGAGCCTTGCTGACACACCCCTTGATTTTTYCCCCTAGGTTAAATTCCCACCATCCTTRAGAGGAATTTTAGGAAGGATGCTGAAGAACCRTCATATCTCAAGTGATTTAACCTACATTTCTRTGTGAAGGTTTCAAGCTGCAGTTTGAATACAGACCATTCCAACTCAGCTCCCCCTTGGCTGGGTCTGCTGGCTTAGGAGCACATCCCACACCCCAGGGGAGAAGTTGTTCCCTGCAAAGGCTGCAACTTCACCCATGTAGACAAGGCCTATGTTTGTGGCCTTGGTTCCCCAGCACAAAAAGGCTACAGAAAAACGTGTGCTGAGCCAGTCTGCAATAATAACGCTACTGTCACACACCAACTTAGCAATGCAGCGCTGGAAAAAGAACACACAGCACTGCCTTGTTATGCAGCACAAGTCTTGGCTACTCTGCTGACTCTGACTTACATGAGAAGCTTGTCACCTGTTCTTCCCGGAACCTCTACATTCTTCAGTGCTTATTTAAAGCAAATAGCACCAAAGATTTCACTGCCATAGAGCATGCAGTGGCCTAATCCTTACATTCTAAATGCCATCACATATAGTACGGTAYCTTGTCAACAGAAGGACAAAAGAACTTGCAAAAACAATACATGATTTCACAAGAGYTTTTAAACACAAYAGCTACCATACTATATATAAAAYTGACCAAACACAGCACARAGCCACCATCAGACAAAAACAAGGSTRTTTTCCTGAASCAAGAATATAATAATTACAAACAGCACAAATATTGCTGTAAAACTTGCAYYCAGTTTTAACTAGTGWCTTTGGTAGCATAAGTGAGGTGATCAGCAATAGCTCAATTGTACTCAAAGGTCTTAGTGCTTTGCGTGAAGGTAAGATAAGAAATGTCAAAGTAACACTAKTTTAGTCTCAGGTTTTAAGTCATCAAGGAAGATGAACTTTTTGAGAATTATTTACTAAGTGCAGCTTGTGGATCAAGTATTAGCTCTATATTCTTAGCAGAATCYTTCTGTTGAGACACCTCCATGAAAGACTGACAGCAGCTACTACAGAAAGTCCTGAAAGCTGAACAAAAAAACCCAAGTACAGTTACATATTCTATCAATATGAACAGAACACATACTGCTCCCTGACTCTCAAACCTCATTAAACCAAACAGGTTGCATCATACTCAAGTCAACATTAAGAGCAGCTCAACACCTAATCTACTAACCAGCTAACAAAACAAATTGTTATCCTATTGCCATAATTCAAGGCAYGCACAAGTGATTTTTAAACAATTGRTGAAGTACTCCACTTATCTTAGAATGCAATTCACAGTATTTCCTTAATACTTGTCCAAGTTCTTGAATATTTCGCAYGCTAAATATCAGGTGTCAAGTATTTTKCCTCCAGTTTCAARTAAYAGCATAYCYCTCTTKTAACAGAATGTTGCCTGCTCTTCATMCCTATACAACTTAGGAGTAACACAACTCAAGTTTCTTTTTCCCCTTTTCTTCCCACATCTTACAATGGAAATAGGGGGAGACATGAACAAACTCTCCATCCAAATGAATACCAYAGCAGTATCTGAAGTGAAACTGTCGGATCCTACTCTCAACAATCATTTACAATCTGATCTTTCTGGGCTAGCAAAATCTAGTAGCCTTCCTCATTTTAGGTGCATTAAAGTAAGAAAGAAATAAGACTTCTAAAAGGTATGCTATTATCAAATAAACATACATAATGTAATATGATTAGTGGTTCTCAACCAGTGGTTGCAAAAGCAAGCGCTATACAAAGAAAAGTGATACTACAGAACCCAAAAGATCACAATTCCTAGGCCAACCTGTGTTTTTAATAGTATCCTACCAAAACAAACCCCCAACCAGCCAGCAAAAAGAATATCACATAGAACAGCAAACAAGGTAATTTATAATTCTTGTCCTTTACAAATCCACAAAACATTTCCTTCACATCTAAGCAGCACTTACACMACAAAAACTTCCAAAACTTCCCAAAGAAATTCCTTTCACTTGGTAAAAAAAAATCACTTCACACTAATCCTGCAGGTTAGTTCCACCTTTCTTCTACACTGCAGAAAGYAAAAGGAAGAACAAGACATAGGCATTTCCTTACCTCTGATATCCAGCAAGAGGCACCCCCTACCAAACAGGAGGGGCATTTAAATGCCAGGAAATGTCTTCTGAGCTCTTGCCACTCCAGAGCACAGCATGATCAGCTGCTCTGTGGAGGTGGCACAGACACCGTGTCCAGATGCACGAGGGAGCTCTGTGGAGACAGAGCAGACCTTAGCCAAGCAGAMTCTTCCATCAAGTCATCTTACAACACAGAATCAGTGTTGCACATACAAAATTTTTATTAAATTAATTCTGGAAACTGAAGCCTAAAATACAAAACCACGAGACCACTGCAACTTCTTACAAACCAACAAACACATGAACATTAAATRACATCTCGTTTGCTTCTTCTTCCACTAACTTAGAGAGCTGGAAAAACCTACCTTTTTGAAGTGTTCGGGCTTTTTTTTAATAACTATCAGCAATGAATAAGTGAATGGTCTGAGGCCACCTAAGGCATCGGTACACAGATATAAGAGACTGAGTGGATAACAGGTCCAATAGTTTCAACTTCCCCATGCTCAGGCCTGAAACTCACAAATCCTGCTCCCCACAGGCAGACGCATCCATCTAACCCTGAAACTCGGAGAGCACACATGCAAACTAGTAACAGCACTGCACCATGCTGCCTTGTTAATAAGCAAATCCTACGCACTCAACAGCATTTTTATTCAAAACACTTTGTCCTCAGAAAACATACATTTTTACAGAAAGGAAAAAAAAACCAAACCAGTAAGACCGGTGAATATCTATTTTGACCCGGTACAACCGTTTGGTTATCTGACTGTAAGACTTAACAACAAAGCATCATTTCCAGGAACGATGTGTTTCTTGTGAAGGCTGACACGGGAGTCAGATCCCATGCGGGTCCCGCAACAAACCGCACAATGCCCACAGGCCCCGATCCCCGGAGCCAGCCCCGGCCCCGCTGGGCACCCGCCCCTGCCCGCCCAACACCTTCACAAGCCTCTCCTAACGAGGCTGGCAAAGTTCGGCCCCAAACCGACCCAGCCGGGCAGCGGGGCTGACCCTTCATCCCGCAGAGCGCCGGCGATCCGGCCCCAGCGCGCAGCCGGTGCTCCCGGGCCGGGCGCTCTCACTCGGCACAGATGCGCCCGGCCCGGGCGGGCGCGGTAATTACGGCGGAGCGGATTTTTAGCGCGGACACAAACGCGGGAKGCTCGCCCCTTCCCCGGCAGCTCTCCTCCCGCACAGCCTCTGCAGCGGGGCAGCCCTTTCCCCCCGAGAGCCGCGGGCCCGCCCGCACTCAGGGGCGCACACCCCTCAGCCGGGGCAGCGCCGGGCTCCCCAGGGCAGGGCCCCGGGGAAGGGCCGCAGCTCGGCCCGCCTCACCTGCCGCCGAGTGGCGGTGCCGCCGAGCCGGCTCTGGGCGCTGCGGCTCCTCCGCGCCCTCCCTGCGCCTCTGCCTGCGCCTCTCCCCGGCGGCGGCSGCGGCCACCGCCACCCCCCATCCCCCGTCCGGAAGCGGGCGCGCAGCGCCGGGCGGGCGGCGGCGGAAGGGGCGGGACGGGCGGAGGGACGCGGTGCTGCCAGGAGGGGCTCCCAGCTGGGCGGCAGACTCTGGATCAGCGCATCTGCCTGCAGTTCATATCAAGGTATAAGCCAAGACAAAATAACAGAGGGAACGCGGAGCCCTCACCCTGTCAGTCCTCGCATCAAGCAGACATAAAACATTTCAGTGGCACCATTATTCTTTTCTGGTGTCCGTAGGAAAAAAAAAACCCAAACAACTGGCTGTCAGCACTTGGCTGACAGCACTCAATCATTTATACACGKGGATCCAAAGCACAGTTACGAACAGCACACATGACTTAGGAAAGCTTCAGCAAGGCAYCGTAACTTCGGGAGCTCCATAGCCTATAAGTAATACAAACGGAGGGGATAGGAGGAGACGAATTACAAACAAATTGTTCCAGAAATAAATTTATTTTTGGTATAAACTGTCTGTGGTAGTAGCCAGCCCTTTGCAACAGTTTGAGGAACGTCCAGAATTTGATTTGTTGATGATGTAATTACGATGAGGTCCAAGATAAGTCTAAGTTGTAGCTTCAGATGAAACAAAAAGCAGGAGCCACTGTAGCTCCGTGAAGTTAATGACACCAGCCTTCCCAGAGAAAGTGGCCTTGAGATCTTTGTTCTAAAGGAAAAAAAGAAAAAAAAAAAAAAATCTATTGCAAAGCTTATCTGCTGCTATGGTGAAAAAAGGAGATTTTGCATTTCAAACTGCTTCAAAGCTAGGTCAAGGTGTCGAGTCATCAGCAATCTAATTCAAATATGCACTCTTGTACTATCTCAGTCGTAATGGGTATCTATTGACTATTCAGAATAGAAACTTCGAAGAACATCTCACAGAAGCCGTGAGAAAGTCTGCTCGTTTCCACAAACCCTGATACTGGTTAAGAGATGCTAATCTCTAAGCAGTCTGTTCTGTSCTGCTTTTGTTTTTTACACCAAATCATCTGTAGTTTCCCTAAAGGGGTTGCTGAAGTTGGAGGGGATGTTACACCTTTTTTGCCAGTTTTGGAGCGTCTGCAAACGATCTAGGAATCGGTGCAATTTCAGTCCTCACAATGTTTTCTTTCTTTGTCTTTAAGGCAACTGACGAATCTGAATTCATCCGTGACAACCCATAGAACACATACATATAAATCAGAAAAAGTCTAATGGACGTTCTCTTTCTGTTAGTAATGGATCCGTTAATAAAGCAGATTGAAAGTTGTGGTAATTTTGCCTACTCCAGGTCCACGTRTATTAAAAAATACCCTAGCATTTATCTGTCAAAGAAAACAAAATTACTGGAGAGCAAGGCAACTTAGCTAAACAAGATTTTGTGCTTCTCTCATATGGACATTCTTTACTATTTTTGACATGAATTGTTCTTCACCAACTGCCAGTTAATCACAACTTTTTGCACACTTTCAAGTMKGTACAATTTACAGTACATTGCTGCRTTTGCTTGTATCTGAACAAYTKGTTTAAACCAAAAATGTAAAAATGAGCACAAACTAAAATTAAAAAACGCTGCAGGGATGTTGGACTGGATGATCTCAGAGATCCCTTCCAACCCTAATGGATCTCTGATTCTGTGAGCCTCAGCACTGGAAAAAGGCTTGATGGTCAGTTTCTATCTCAAGTTATCACTGTTGATGGTATTTTTYTGCTCTAATTTCATCACCTAGCAAATGTTTTGAAAATTACTAAGTTAGCTTGCACAGAAAAGTAATAAAGGGCATAATTTAAAACTTGTAACACTTAGATAAAAGTAGATATGTAATAGCTGCTTACTCGTTGCACTTCAAACTTCTCTTTGCTAACATTTCAYTTTCTTTGAAAGGGTGAATTATCTAAATAGTTTGTGCTTTATTTAAYAGAAATTTCCAATAAACCTCATTCCGTCACTTTGAGTTATGTCACTTCATRCCATGTGACATGAAGGCATTGATGTAAGTTTGACAGGCAGTGCCAGTGCTGACATGTCAGTTTGAGAATTTATGACAAATTATATGCTACAGATATTTTTAAAACAACTGTGGATTGCCAAGGGGAAAAAAAAAGTATTTAAAATGTGTAATACCACTGATGCATCTTTAGATTGAAAACAGTTTATTCAATTTACACAGTTCCATTGATTTAATGTTCAGGCTGACAMAATGCAATAAAAGAAAGGAAATTTATATCAAAAATTCCCAACTAGCTCAAGTTACAATATATTACAGAGCAAAGGAAAATGAGATGTGTTAATGTAATGGGCTATTTTTTTTAAACACTGCCATTAAGTAATACTGTCAGCATTTAATAATTTGAAATAATCTATCTCAAATGTTAAGGCCCTATACAGAAAGAAAAGGCCTCAGCTGAACAGAGTATGAATTGCTTATGAAGATTCTCATCCAGCAAAGAATTCAACATGGCAAGAGGGGTAGCTTTCCCTAGAAGTGCTAATTGATTTAAATAATGTTTTGTTTTTTTTTTTTTATATTTTTCTGGGTTTGGGGTGGGTGGGGTTTTTGGTAATATCTTTTTTTGTACAGCTCAGATCCTGCCTTATAATTTCTTCCTAATCCCTGTACCTCAGTTGAAGCATTCTTAGGTCAGAACTCTCAAGCATCTATTTTATCTTCACATTTCTTAATTCTGTAATGAAAGAAGAAGAGATTGAATGCCTAAGAACTAACTATATTAAATGACCCATAATTATTTTAAACAGAAAATAAGCTTATTAGAAGAAGACAGTAAAGGGAAAAAAAACCCCAAACTCTGTGTGCTCAGCAGAAAAAAATTGTTCCATATGTTAAAAATAGGGTGTTGTAGAGCACCAGAAAACCTTGCCTCACTCATGTAGCATTGACTAAAAAGTACCAGAGTTCAAATAGTTCTACTTCAGTAGTTAACCATCCCAAAAATCAAATCCTGAAGACAGAGTGAAATGAGAAGAGCCCTTTCACAGCTGGAGATACTGTAGCTATAGAATCCTAGCTTACTGAGCTGTCATGCTGTAACATTTTCACTGTAAAAGCCACCKTCTTTCAGGATATGTGAAAGGAGTCTGATTTTGGCAGTTTTCAGTAGAGAGATGGCATGGGATTAGCTAGAACTGATAGAAGAGTATTTTCAAGRGAAGAAATAGAAGAGCCACCATGACTTTCCTGTTTTCCATTGCTGCTGCTCATTTTCCKGGCAATGCCACGCCATGTGCTACCAGAGCCTCCATGGCAGTTTGCATTGTTGCCACTGAATACATTATTAGCCAGGGAATGTTTGATTTAGATTATTGCACTAAGTACTACCTTCTAAGTAATCACAAAGGCATAGCCAGTTKGAATGCCTTCTGCTGCATGTTGCAAAATTAAGCATGCATTAATTTAGCTAAAATAGCAGCTATTTAATGTTCATGTATCATTGCACACAAGTGTTTGATTTAGAGCTGCCCAGCATTCCAACAGCCAGGAGACCTTCCAAATGCTTGGAATCTCAAGAAGTGCCTCCTGCAGACAGTGCTAAATTTGCCTCCATTCAATGTGACCGTGTATCAGTCTGTTGCTTTCCACAYCCTTTCTTAGTAGATTTAAAAGGGCCAGAAAAGAAGCCCAGATGCAGAGAGGCAAATCCATGGGAAAGCCAGATCTCTGCCTCCTGTCTGTTTCAAAGGCTAYTCCTGGCCAAAAAAGGTCAGTGACATAGCTTTTCTCCACCCAGAAACCTGAGAAAAATAAACTAAATTGAACTACCTAACCGGCTCAGTCAGTTAATTTTCCTCGTTCATGAGCACAAATCAATCAGCTTAAAGCACACTAGTTTACTGAAAGAAAGGAAAAAAAAAAAAAAACCCACAACAAAAAAAACACCCCAACATATTAAGTGCATATACCTAGTGCTTGAAATGTAACTTCAGAACTTCAGCCATTTCTTCAGTCCTATCCTCTGCTGGATCTGGCCAGCTGGTTGCCTCACCCACAGCAGAGCCTGGCAGCCTGTCCCACTGTCCCCTCTAAATAAGCACTTCAGCAGTGTTACTTGTGGTTTCCCTTATTTCACCTTCTAGGTCAGAACATATGGCAGTGGGAAGTAACAAGTCTCTTCGTATACAGGAGGCTCTTAAAMAATCTATTCCCTAAATACCACAGAAATATTAGAAATTTCTGCTTCATTAAATATTCAATACAAACTCACTTTTCTCTTGTTGGATATGACTTTTGTACTCTGATGCTGAAACTATTACACTGTGTTATGGGGATCTCTCACTGAGTACTCCTAAGCACAGTTAACTAGTCCAGACTTTAACACCCAGTTTGGAATGGCTGTCCCTGATACGKCTCTTGATAAAACACAGGATACTCATCATCATATATCAATGCATGTGGAATAAAAGTAGCTCACACCTGATCAAGAGTTCCTTCCATTCATCACCTTTTTTCTACATGGGATTCTCTCAGAAGCAAGCTTCTCCTCTTGGGTCACCTTCTCCCCTGGATTGCCAGGCTTACAGAGAAAGAGCATCACCATTTCATTTGTTTTGCCTCGTAGCTCCAGCACTGACAGTTGTGCCGGGGCCACACATCCTGCAGAAGCACAGGTACTGCTTTACTTGAAAAGACCCACTAACACTACAATTTGATAYCAYGGGTCTCYAACTTATGGCTCACCAGACCTTCCYATAYAAACTCAGTGGCTTACAAGTTTCACCTGACAACCATTATACCCAYGGCAGAGGGAGTTGCCATGCAATATATGGCAGGTGTATTGTATTAACCCAGTGAGTGACTGACATAGAAAATATTAAAAAATATAAAGTACAGTTATCTCACGGTGAACAAAACCAGTAGCTTTAAGAAATAAATTTCCCTAGATTATCAATAACAGGCAAGACATCATCATCCACTTGGTGTTTAACCTCCCGGAAGCCACGTTGGTAGGACATGCTGGTGCATTTCTGACCCTTTCACTGCTATGTTTTTGAGCAMCTCAGACTAAATGACAGACAGTTGTTACTGGGACAGGGTTGCCACTCTTCTTGCCCTGGACAGGTTGCTATTTTTCCTTTATCAGGCTTTAACTGCTAGTGATGAATGCCCACATCCAGCTGTGTGGAGGACACGGCTGGGGACAGTCACAGCCAGCGTCTGTGGGTGTCCTGCAGGGAAGGGGCTGTGCCACATGTGGCTGATGTGCCCGGCACCAAGGCTGCTGTGTGGCACAGCAGTGCGGCTCTGCAGGCGAGCCCGGAGAAGCAGAGTGGAGCCAGTGAGGAGCCAGCAATGGCCAGTTTGGTACCGCATCTGTTGGGAGCGGCTGTGCCGATCGGGACAGGCCGGCTGGCCGCACCTGCCCCAGCCCATCTCGCTGTGTCCCCCGGCACGGAGCGGGGCTGGCAGCGCCCCAGTGCCGTCCTGCGCCCGGCGGGAGAACGGCTGGCCCTGCATCTCAGCATGTCCGGGRCACAGGCGACCGACACCCGCGACCCTGAAGCTGGGACACGCCCGGAGGATGTCCCCTCGCTCAAGGAAATCGAGCAGCTCCTCAACACGGGGCGGCCCTCCTGCAACCACGTTGATGAGGTGTGGCCTAATCTCTTCTTAGGGGACCTGTAAGTACGGYTTTGTGGACACGCCTCTGCCGTATCTTCTGTTAGTATGCCTCATGGGTGCGGCTTTAGCCAGCTCATAGTTTTGCTAATTGCTGTCATTTACACTGCAGACAAAACGATTTCCGAGATAATATTAAGATTAAGCTGGTATTCCCTTCTCGATTAGCCCTCAGAAGCAATGCATGGGTTTGGGAGCAAATGGCTTGGGAGATACAATCTCAGTGCTCCCCCTGCTCTGTGAATATCACTGTACCCGTCCTGATTTGTCTTTGTCTTTTCCTTAGAGTAACAGCTCACAACAGATTTGTTTTGTGGAAGATGGGTGTGACCCATGTTTTAAAYGCTGCCCACGGCACAGCGTACAGCCACGGAGGCCAGGACTTYTATGGAGCAACCATCGATTATTATGGTGTACCAGCCCATGACCTGCCAAGCTTTGATATCAGCCAGTTCTTTTTCTCTGCAGCACAATTTATCCACAATGCCTTGAAGACGCCGGGAGGTACGAAATTATTGTTGTTCACAGTCTGATATGAGTTGGCAGCCTCACATAACAGGTCAGCTCCATGAGCTCAGTGGTGGACAAGCCAGGGGCTGGACGCCTGCACGGTGTGTGGCAGGAGAAAGGAGTGCTGTGTGTGTGGATGTTGCTCTGACTAGGTCCCGAAAAGCTGATGTGAGAAAAGGGATGAACCATGCAGGAGAGAGACCGGGATGAAAGGAGGCAGGGTAGAGAGAAAATTATTTGGAGGGTAAGGGTTGTTCAAAAAAGAAGAATCAAAAACATGCATTTAAAATTGACATCTTCTTTTGAGACTCTTATAGCAATTGTATTTGCAAGAAAAAATTAATAAAAAGGCAAAAGTCCTGATTTCTACAATCACCAACTGTATGAGGAGGKTCATATATTTCAGATTAGTTTCTTGTGTGAGCAAGGCCTGCAGGGCTATGCCTCCAAGGAGAAGATTTACCTTTACCCAAGAAGATTTATAGTGAGTTGCACAAGAAACTTAGCTTCTTGGCACTGGTGCAATAAAATATTAATTAATCTGTTTTACATAAAAGACCATTTCTTAGCATGRGTAAACTAGCATTAATGGAGCTGTCTCTGTGTCACAAGCTCTGCCTTCAAAATAGAATTACAGTTGYATCAAATTGCCTTATTATGCAATAGTACTAGGCCAGTCATTTTTCTTGGTGGCTARTGTGTCAGTGACATCCATTCAGGCCAAATTTTAGCATTCTTCCTTGCCTAAGCAAGCCCTCTGAAACCAYTGGGTCTTCTTTTCCTCTTGGTCAAAAYRGAACTACTTCATTACTTCAAGAGGRTTTTCTTAGATTTGCCAGTGTTTCTGAGATAGAGTTGGGATCTCATGGCATTTCTCATACGAGTGTAACAATGGCAAATTAGACTTAACTGTCAGCAGTTAATGTGATCTGTCAGAAAAGTAAGAAAAACATTTAAACTTCAACCACTCTACTGCTTCTCCTGCATAGCTGTATTTTTTTTTTTTTACCAGCCAAAATATTGGTACATTGTGCAGTTGGAGTAAGCAGATCAGCCTCCCTAGTCCTAGCATATCTCATGATAAATCACCACCTCCCATTAATTGAAGCCATCAAGACAGTGAAAGAGCATCGATGGATTTCACCCAATCGTGGTTTTCTGAAGCACCTGCGAAACCTGGATGTTCAGCTAAGGCAAAGGAAGGACTGCTGAACTGCAGCCCTATCTACATTTATTTACTGACTTTTACCCTTCACAGCTATTGTGCATATACAGCTTCCCATGATCAGTGCACATTAAAAAGGAAGAAAATTAAGCATCAAAGGCCCACAGAACAATAAATGGATTAATTCTGATGTCTCAGCTCCTCCAAAACCATCACAGCCAACATCAGCTCTGTAACCACTGCATGGGATAGAAGTGCTGTGCCTTGAGTGRTGCTACTGGATGAATCCACTGAAATGGTTAAAATAGACCAAGTTTATCTCTGGTTTGTGCTCRTGCCAGAGGCAAGTTCAATAATTGTGTCTGGCTACAAAGAATGAGTCCCTTGTACTTGGGAGTGTAACATAATCATCTTTCTCARTTTGGTTACATTTCTCAAATGCATGTCCTCATAAGAATAGATTTTGTGTTTCAGGTCTGATGATGTGTCAAGGACAGTTTCTTGAGAGCCCAGGCACTCCTACAGAAATAAATGTTCTTCTTTCACTAGTCTGCTAAATATTACAGTGGTATAGAAAGATGACAGCCACAAGACCCACACCATCAGGATAAATGTCTGTGATGCTTCTGGAGCCTGGGTCAGCAGTCTTTTCTTGTTAAATATGTTTTTAAAAAAAATAATGTGTATCATGTAGTATATTTGGGGTATTAAAATAAACATGTCACGTCCTCAAAACATTTTGTCAGTTTGACTCATCAGTTTGCTCATACTCCAAATTATCCCAAATCAGCTCTGTGTCAATGGCTTTGAATCACCCATGGTTTAATATCAGGTAGACACTTCGCTTACATCAGTGGCTTGGCCTGATTGATACAAATTAGTCTTATGCTGTTTTGAGGATGTCACTTTTCCTATGACCAGTTAATCAGTACTTAAACAACGTGATTTTTAATACAGCAACAGCATCAGCATTTGCAATTCATGCTACCATTCTGCCTGAAAATTAGCTTGTTACCTTGTGGTGAACCATAAAGTGATAATCAAATTTGGTTTTGCCCTTTGTTGCTTGTTTGATTCATTGATTAGTTGACCTTATAAATATTCCCTGCGAGATTAAGTAAATACATTTCTGCTTGCTTGTTTGCATTTGAAGCATCAGTTCTGATAATTTTGTTCTCTGCTGGAGGAGACTTGCAAGGTTATTAGAAGGGTGATAGAAGAGTGACTTGTGAGTTGAACCTCTTCTTTCCCAGACCACATTTCCTCCTTCATTCTTTTAGAGGTTATAACATGAATGCTGATTCTGCCTAGCATTTAGGGGAATGTAGAAATCTCTCCCTATTTCACTGTACACAAGTGCTTTGMAAAATAAGCATATTCAAGATCCTTTCAGACATCAGTTTGACTGTTCAGATTTTCTTGAACCTTGCCAAAGAGCTCCACTTGACAGGAAAAATGTAAGACATTGTTGTGTGAAAAGATCAAATAGGAAATCACATTTAAAACCCAACAGTGCTGGGACAATCTTTATACCTCACAAAGCAGCAGAGTGGCGGAGGAGGAGCTGGGTTTGCTTTGAAGTTYTCCATTAAAATTAATAGGGATTTATATGAGTTAATATTTCATTATAATTTATACTTCGTTCACATTACAGTAGGTTTTAGTCTGGAAACCTTTTGAAGACATGGCATTGAAAAAGTCTGAAATTCATGTGAGTGAAATAATGCATCTTAATGGCTTTAGGCTGGGCAAAATTAGACACATGTGAGCAAGATTAATAGAATTTCCCCATCAGGATAATGCTTTGCATGCCCCTGAGCATCTGTCCTACAAAGCCACAGCTGTGAAAGCTGTCATAAATTAGTACCTGTTCTTGCAGATACTGCTCATCCTGGGAGAGTWTTGCTTCACCAGGGGTAGAGAAGGGAAGAGCAGAGAGTGAACCTGGGTCAGTGGGGCATCCATGCCACCAATGACATGGCAGCGATCTTGTAAGGCTTACTTACCTCAGTGGAGGGAATGAATTAGGTGGAAACTTGTTTCAAGGGCACTGTCAAATCACAGAAATGTTTTTAATCTGTGGAGTTAGTGTTGCTTATATTTCCTGCATACCTGTATTCCCTCTTTATACAGAGATTTACTTTGAGCACATGTTTATGCAGGGAAGAAGATTCCAGTCAACGTAAACAAAAGCAGAAGAATTAGTCCTGTAACTTCTTCAKTGTCTGCTGCAATGTGCTAAGAGGAGAAGGGACCTCCTTACCTGTCACTTACACTATCCATCATTCAAGTCATGATGTGACATGACATTAGTACTTCACTGCTTTCCACTATCAGTATGAAAACTTGTATTTTGAATATTGGTTTGGCAAGTTAGACTAAGGAACCAAAACAAAGGAAAAATCCTGCCTCCCCAGTGGCACTTCATTCAGAAAATGCGTGTTTGTCAAGGGGGTCTGCACAACCTGGGAGAAGGTGCGAGTGAAAGGAACTGTCCCAGCTATAGCTCTGGCAGCCTTAAATCTGCTTAAAGCAATCACAAAACCASTGTCACCTGAAAGGACCCATGTAGAGTTCCAGKGAAAACTTCCCTTAATTTTATTTTYCAGTACARGAACAGAGGGCATCAGATGAAGTYAGTARAAATCAGGTCTGARACAAGAGGAGGGGTTTATGTGAGCTGTGTACTATGTTGCCACAGGATGCTGCAGAGAGTAAAAGCCTATAGACATTCAAGGGGCAATTGCAGAAGTTTGAAGGACAGAAATCCATTCAGGATTACCAAATACTTAGAAACTCCATCCATATCAGCAAGCTCATGAGCTGCAGCCAGCTGGAATCTCGGATAGTGTTATTATTATTATTATTATATACACAAGTCATTATTATTATTATATACACAAGTATAATTCATGCTTCTGTGTTAAATTCTGTAGGCATCCACTTTCACCACACTCAAGTGCAAAACAGCAGGCTCAGAGAACCTTTGGTAAGGCCCACGATAGGTGCTGTCCTGGTCTTTATTTTGAACTCACCCTCAAGCTGTGCTGTCCCCTGTTTCCTGGTAGTTTATTATTAGAACTAGGTCACATGAGGCATTTGGGACTGCGTCTCSGTTGCATTGACTGACATTTCTTTCACAGGGAAAGCTCTGTGCTGGCAGGAGCAGCACCATAGCTTATGTGAGGAAGAGAGTAGCATTTTTTTGCATAAGATTCGCTTAAAGCAGAACGTTCATTTTCCTGGCTGCTCCCCATTGCACCAGGGATGTAGAGCTGAGCTAATCCAGGGAGGTGTCAAGGAGAGCTGTATTTAGAGTYAGCCACCTGCTTGGGAACATCAAGCTGCAGAAAGAGCCTGCTTCAGCAAAAACCCTCCCCTGTGCATTCCGCAGCAGCGGCTTCCAGCAGGCCCTCCCTCCTCTGCCTGACTCTGCMTGTGGCCTCCAAAGGGGTCAGCACCTGAAGACAGACCCTGTCAGCCCAGGAATGCTCTGAGCCTGGCACTCCCTCTGCCCAGGAACTGCCAGAAATTTTGGACAGCTGCAAGGTGGAATTAGATCACGTGGGTGAAGAGTGGCCTAATCTCTACGTAGGCAATATGTAAGTGTTATTTGAGGCTGAGCTGTTCTRAAGGGCTGGGGAATACAGTACTCATTAACATATGCTGGCCAACTTTTATTTAGTTAGYGTTGATAAACTTCACTGCCTTAAAATAGACTTAAGATTAGCACAGAAGAAAGCATAAGGGCTACCCATTAAATAAAGAACCTACTGCATACAAAAATAATTTAAAAGAAAATTAGACTCTTTATTGCTTTGCATTATTTTATAATTGTGCAACATACAGAATGTATAAATGCTGCAGCATTTACTGTACAAAGCATAAGACACACTCATGATCCTGAGCAGCCTTAGAATTGAACAATAATTGGTTTTTACCTTTTTGGTGYAATTTTAACTAGAACAGAAATTTTAAAAGTGTTCTGATTTTGGCTGTTTATATGACAACKTGATTTGCAGTTGAAATTTCTGACAAATCTATGGATATTCTGAATGACAGCAGACTTCACTCTTGATTTCTCAAAATTGTGCAGATGGGTATTTGACTCCAAAGCATGGAGAAAGTATGCAATCATCTGCACTCCATGTGCCTAGTGCTCAATATTATGCCAAAACAAGGGTTTTTTCATCCCCATTAGGTTGCAAACTTCTTGAAATATCTAGAAATTACAATAATTCCTACAGGACAGAAGCAGGAGGAACCAATGACCCTGCTGATTGCCCACTGCTAACAGCTAAAAGTGGCCATTCTTTTAGCTGTGAAAAAGCAAAACCAAAAAATGAGCCAGGTGACATTGGGGAAATAATTTGCATTTACCAAAGTTGATTTTACAAATTGCCACCTGCTTCCCCAATGTCACTGCACTTCCAGGCAGGGGTGTGACAGGTGACAGGTGACAGGTGACAGGTGGGGCCCTCTGCTCAGCAGCACGGTGGCCCTGGTCAGAGCCTGCCTGGGGAAAGGCAGAAGCCACAACAACGTGCAGTGCTTCACTAACTCCTGCCTTGGTGAAGCTGAGAGTGGCATTGTGACCTTTGCCTTTCTGGTTTAATCTTGTAACTACATTTGGAATTAACTTTTTTACTTATTAGGACCATGTGCAGAAATAAGGATTTGTAGACTTGGGCCTGGCAGCTAGTAAAAGAAAATATTTAAGACAAAAATTACCAAAATTGTGTTGTCTTAACAGCAACATTTGATTTTAGACAGTGCTCTAAGTGCAGTTTTAAGACCTTCTTTTAATGCCTGTGAGTATATATATTCCAAACTATTCCCGGATGTTTCTTTCAATCACATTCTGTCTCTTGGGAGAAAAAAAATGGTGGGGAATAAAATGAAAAAACTATATAGATAACAGTGTGTGTGTGTTGTAAGGAAAAGATGAACTTTGAGAACAYTCAGCTAAGAGAAATAAAGAGGTTTCCTTGCTAAAGCAACAGCTGATCACTAATATCAGCTTAAATATGAGTTATAGGCTGCAAACAGTGAAACTGGAATTTTATCAAATACTACAGAT